CCAAGGATGTCAGGGACAAGGTTGTAGACCTACACAAGGCTGGAATGGGCTACAAGACCATCTCCAAGCAGCTTGGTGAGAAGGTGACAACAGTTGGTGCGATTATTCTGTCAATCTCCCTCGGCCTGGGGCTCCATGCAAGATCTCACCTCGTGGAGTTGCAATGATCATGAGAACGGTGAGGAATCAGCTCAGAACTACACGGGAGGATCTTGTCAATGATCTCAAGGCAGCTGGGACCATAGTCACCAAGAAAACAATTGGTAACACACTACGCCGTGAAGGACTGAAATCCTGCAGCGCCCGCAAGGTCCCCCTGCTCAAGAAAGAACATATACAGGGCCATCTGAAGTTTGCCAATGAACATCTGAATGACTCAGAGGAGAACTGGGTGAAAGTGTTGTGGTCAGATGAGACCAAAATCGAGCTCTTTGGCATCAACTCAACTCGCCATGTTTGGAGGAGGAGGAATGCTGCCTATGACCCCAAGAACACCATCCCCACCGTCAAACATGGAGTTGGAAACATTATGCTTTGGGGGTGTTTTTCTGCTAAGGAGACAGGACAACTTCACCGCATCAAAGGGACGATGGACGGGGCCATGTACCGTCAAATCTTGGGTGAGAACCTCCTTCCCTCTGCCAGGGCATTGAAAATGGGTCGTGGATGGGTATTCAAGCATGACAATGACCCAAAACACACGGCCAAGGCAACGAAGGAGTGGCTCAAGAAGAAGCACATGAAGGTCCTGGAGTGACCTAGCCAGTCTCCAGACCTTAATCCCATAGAAAATCTGTGGAGGGAGCTGAAGGTTCGAGTTGCCAAACGTCAGCCTCGAAACCTTAATGACTTGGAGAAGATCTGCAAAGAGGAGTGGGACAAAATCCCTCCTGAGATGTGTGCAAACCTGGTGGCCAACTACAAGAAACGTCTGACCTCTGTGATTGCCAACAAGGGTTTTGCCACCAAGTACTAAATCATGTTTTGCAGAGGGGTCAAATACTTATTTCCCTCATTAAAATGCAAATCAATTGATGACATTTTTGACATGCGTTTTTCTGGATTTTTTGTTAGTTATTCTGTCTCTCACTGTTCAAATAAACCTACCATTAAAATGATAGACTGATCATGTAGAGTTTGGTTTTCGCCAGGCATTACTGGAACCATGTCGTCCAAAAAGTTATACTTTTGAATCATCTGTCCATAGAACGTTCTTCCAAGAGTCTTGATGATCATCCAGGTGCTTTTTGGCAAACCTGAGTCAACCTTTTGGACGAGATGGGTCCCATTATGCCTGGCGAAAACCAAACGCTGCATTCCACAGTAAGAACATCATACGAAAGGTCAAGCATGGTGGTGGTGGTGTGATGGTTTGGGGATGCTTTGCTGCCTCAGGACCTGGACGACTTGCCTTAATAGAAGGAACCATGAATTCTGCTCTGTATCAGAGAATTCTACAGGAGAATGTCAGACCATCCGTCTGTAAGCTGAAGCGCAGCTGGGTCATGCAGCAAGACAATGATCCAAAACACACAATCAAGTCTACATGAAAATTGCTAAAAAGCAACAAATTGGAAGTTTTGGAATGGCCTAGTCAAAGTCCAGACCTAATCCCAATTGAGATGTTGTGGCAGGACTTGAAACGAGCAGTTCATGCTTGAAAACCCACACGTCACTGAGTTAAAGCAGTTCTGCATGGAAGAGTGGGCCAAAATTCCTCCACAGCGACGTGAGACTGATCAACAACTACAAGAAGCATTTGGTTGGAGTCATTGCAGCTAAAGGTGGCACAACCAGTTATTGAGTGTAAGGGGGCAATTACTTTTTCACACAGGGGAATTGGGTGTTGCATAACTTTGTTTATGAAATAAATATGTAATTGTTGTGTTATTTGTTCACTTATGTTCCCTTTATCTAATATTAGGTTTTGGTTGAAGATCTGATAACATTCAGTATCACAAATATGCAAAAGTAGAGAAAATTAGAAAGGGGGCAAATACTTTTTCACAGCACTATATATATATATATATTAGTACCAGTCAAAAGTTTGGACACCTACTCATTCCAGTTTTTTTGTAATATTTTCTACATTGTAGAATAATAGTGAAGATATCAAAACTATGAAATAATCATGTAGTAACACAAGTGTTAAACAAATCAAAATATATTTAAGATTCTTCAAAGTAGCCACCCTTTGCCTTGACACCTTTGCACACTCTTGGCATTCTCTCAACCAGCTTCATGAGGTAGTCACCTGGAATGCATTTCAATTAGCAGATGTGCCTTGTTAATTTGTGGAATTTCTTTCCTTTTTTAATGCGTTTGAGCCAATCAGTTGTTGTGACAAGGTAGGGGTGGTATACAGAAGATAGCCCTATTTGGTAAATGACCAAGTCCATATTACAGCAAGAACAGCTCAAATAACCAAAGAGAAACGACAGTCCATTACTTTAAGACTTGAAGGTCAGTCAATCCGCAAAATGTCAAGAACTTTGCGACTTCATTTGAAGAAACTTTCAAAAACCATCAAGCGCTATGATGAAACTGGCTCTCATGAGGAACGGAAGACCCAGAGTTACCTCTGCTGCGGCGGATAAGTTCATTAGAGTTAACTGCACCTCAGAAATTGCAGCCCAAATAAATGCTTCACAGAGTTCAAGTGACAGACACATCTCAACATCAGCTGTTCATCGGAGACTGTGTGAATCAGGCCTTCATGGTCGAATTGCTGCGAAGAAACCACTACTAAAGGACACCAATAATAAGAAGAGACTTGCTTGGGACAAGAAACATGATCAATGGACATTAGACCGGTGGAAATCTGTCCTTTTGATCTGATGAGTCCAAATTTGAGATTTTTGGTTCCCACCGCCGTGTCTTTGTGAGACGCAGAGTAGGTGAACGGATGATCTCTGCATGTGTGGTACCCACCGTGAAGGATGGAGGAGGAAGTGTGGGGGTGCTTTGCTGGTGACACTGTCAGTGATTTATTTAGAATTCAAGGCACACTTAACCAGCATGGCTACCACAGCATTCTGCAGCGATACGCCATCCCATCTGGTTTGCGCTTAGTGGGGCTATCATTTGTTTTTCAACAGGACAATGACCCAAAACACACCTCCAGGCTGTGTAAGGGCTATTTGACCAAGAAGGAGAGTGATGGAGTGCTGCATCGAGATTACCTGGCCTCCACAATCATCCGACCTCAACCCAATTGAGATGGTTTGGGATGAGTTGGACCGCAGAGTGAAGGAATAGCAGCCAACAAGTGCTCAGCATATGTGGGAACTCCTTCAAAACTGTTGGAAAAGCATTCCTCATGAAGCTGGTTGAGAGAATGCCAAGAGTGTGCAAAGCTGTAATCAAGGCAAAAGGTGGCTACTTTGAAGAATCTAATATCTAAAATATATTTTGATTTTAACACTTTTCTGGTTACTACATGATTCCATATGTGTTATTTCATAGTTTTGATGTCTTCACTATTATTCTACACTGTAGAAAATAATAAAAATAAAGAAAAACCCTTGAATGAGTAGGTGTCCAAACTTTTGACTGGTACTGTATATTAGTGCTGGCCCATGTTGACTCCAATGCTTCCCACAGTTGTCCAGTTGGCTGGATGTTCTTTGGGTGGTGGACCATTCTTGATACACATGGGGGAAAAAACAGCAGCGTTGCAGTTCTTGACACAAACCGGTGCGCCTGGCACCTACTACCATACCCTGTTCAAAGGCACTTAAACATTTTGTCTTGCCCTTTCACCCTCTGAATGGCACACATACACAATCCATGTCTCAATTGTCTCAAGGCTTAACAATCCTTCTTTAACCTGTCTCCTCCCCTTCATCTACACTGATTTGAAGTGGATTTAACAAGTGACATCAATACGGGATCATAGCTTTCACCTGGTCAGTCTATGTCATGGAAAGAGCAGGTGTCCTTAATGTTCTGTACACTCAGTGTATATAGTCTTGTGAGTGTATGTATAGAGACCGTGCAAGATGGGGTCAATGCAGATAGTCCGGGTGACAATTTAGCAGTCTTATGGCTTGGGGGTAGAAGCTGTCTGAGAGCTGATGCTCCGGTACTGCTTGTTGGACGGTAGCAGAGTGAACAGTCTATGGCATGGGTGGCTGAAGTCTTTGGCAATTATTCGGACCTTCCTCTTACACCGCCTGATATAGAGGTCCTGGAAGGCAGGGAGCTCTGCCCCAGTGATGTACAGGGCCGTCTGCACCACCCTCTGTAGCTCTTTGCGGTTGAGGCCGGTGCATTTGCCATACCAAGTGGTGATGCAGCCAGTCAAGGTGCTCTCGAAGGTGCAGCTGTAGCACTTGTTGAGGATCCAAGGGCCCATGCCAAATCTTTTCAGCCACCTGAGGGGGAAGAGACGCTGTCGTGCCCACTTCATTAATGTGCGGGTGTGTGTGGACCATGTTAAGTCCTTAGTGATGAACTGTCCCGTTCCTCTGCACTCTAAACTCTGCTTGCCGCTTCTCCCTGCTTTGCTCTTGCTTTGGGTAGAAGTTGCCAGTAGGCACAGATCTTGGATCAGCCCACCCAACCCTAATCCTAACCTTAGCCTTTACAGGCAACAATGGAAAACGGATCTTAGATCTGCATCCATGGGGCAACTTCATCTTATTACTGCTTTGTGCTGTCTTTTGTTGCACACTTCTGGTTGTTTTTCCTCTTGTGGATCCTTCCCTGTTATTCTTCTATCTGCCTTGTGTTGAAGGACCCTTTTGCAGACTGTGGTCTCTCTCCCTGGTTTAAAGGTTCAGCTATACTGAACACCCAACTACTGCTGTGGTTGAGGCGCCCCCTGCGTATGTCGAACCAGCCAGGAAAAGGTGATAAGTTCTGGCACACCATTAGCATTTCCTATTATTGGGCTTGTTTCAGGGTACGAAAAAAATAAAACATTTCTGAAGCCTAAAGCATTTGTGTGGGTTTGTGCACGCACCATTTACCTTTACACCTGTGTGTGTGGTTGGCAGTGCCATGCAGGACTCGTGGATGAGCCCAGATGATGAGGGAAGTGCAGCTGTGGAGTTCATCGTACTCAGGAGACAGGTAAGCAGGCTATTAAATCCTATCGCGGGTGAAAAGAGACAATGATGAGCTACTGTCGCCTACCATTGAACGTCTGACTGATATGTTATGATACCAACGCCTTACTAACGTCTGCTTGATACCTGCATCTAAAAACTAGTCTACATTATAGGATAATGCTAAATCAATATAATATAAATTGACGAGGAAAGTTAAGGGGACGATATAGAGACAGCTGTGATATAGGGCTATATGAAGATGAAATTGACAACCATTTGAAAATAGAAACACATGCACGCAAACTGTCCATAGCCTATCAGCCGTTGATCAATTTTAATGAAGCAGTGGGTGGTTATGTTGACACTAGGCCTACATTTTTATTTGTGTGTAAATGTATTTATCTAAATCTGTGCAACCACATTGATAAGGGTAGCCTAAACTTTGGCGGATATTTCACTGTTCTTTGTCATTCACGCATCTCGACTGGCAACTTGCCTATCTCTCCCTCTCTCTAGCTCTTAAATGAGTAGACATTGAACAGCTGTGTGTGTGTGTGTGTGTGTGTGTGTCTGTCATATATATACACTGCTCAAAAAAATAAAGGGAACACTAAAATAACACATCCTAGATCTGAATGAATGAAATAATCTTATTAAATACTTTTTTCTTTACATAGTTGAATGTGCTGACAACAAAATCACACAAAAATTATCATTGGAAATCAAATTTATCAACCCATGGAGGTCTGGATTTGGAGTCACCCTCAAAATTTAAGTGGAAAACCACACTACAGGCTGATCCAACTTTGATGTAATGTCCTTAAAACAAGTCAAAATGAGGCTCAGTAGTGTGTGTGGCCTCCACGTGCCTGTATGACCTCCCTACAACGCCTGGGCATGCTCCTGATGAGGTGGCGGATGGTCTCCTGAGGGATCTCCTCCCAGACCTGGACTAAAGCATCCGCCAACTCCTGGACAGTCTGTGGTGCAACGTGGCGTTGGTGGATGAAGCGAGACATGATGTCCCAGATGTGCTCAATTGGATTCAGGTCTGGGGAACGGGCGGGCCAGTCCATAGCATCAATGCCTTCCTCTTGCAGGAACTGCTGACACACTCCAGCCACATGAGGTCTAGCATTGTCTTGCATTAGGAGGAACCCAGGGCCAACCGCACCAGCATATGGTCTCACAAGGGGTCTGAGGATCTCATCTCGGTACCTAATGGCAGTCAGGCTACCTCTGGCGAGCACATGGAGGGCTGTGCGGCCCCCCAAAGAAATGCCACCCCACACCATGACCGACCCACCGCCAAACCGGTCATGCTGGAGGATGTTGCAGGCAGCAGAACATTCTCCACGGCATCTCCAGACTCTGTCACGTCTGTCACGTGCTCAGTGTGAACCTGCTTTCATCTGTGAAGAGCACAGGGCGCCAGTGGCGAATTTGCCAATCTTGGTGTTCTCTGGCAAATGCCAAATGTCCTGCACGGTGTTGGGCTGTAAGCACAACCCCCACCTGTGGACGTCGGGCCCTCATACCACCCTCATGGAGTCTGTTTCTGACCGTTTGAGCAGACACATGCACATTTGTGGCCTGCTGGAGGTCATTTTGCAGGGCTCTGGCAGTGCTCCTCCTTGCACAAAGGCGGAGGTAGCGGTCCTGCTGCTGGGTTGTTGCCCTCCTACGGCCTCCTCCACATCTCCTGATGTACTGGCCTGTCTCCTGGTAGCGCCTCCATGCTCTGGACACTACGCTGACAGACACAGCAAACCTTCTTGCCACAGCTCGCATTGATGTGCCATCCTGGATGAGCTGCACTACCTGAGCCACTTGTGTGGGTTGTAGACTCCGTCTCATGCTACCACTAGAGTGAAAGCACCGCCAGCATTCAAAAGTGACCAAAACATCAGCCAGGAAGCATAGGAACTGAGAAGTGGTCTGTGGTCACCACATGCAAAACCAGTCCTTTATTGGGGGTGTCTTGCTAATTGCCTATAATTTCCACCTGTTGTCTATTCCATTTGCACAACAGCATGTGAAATTTATTGTCAATCAGTGTTGCTTCCTACATGGACAGTTTGATTTCACAGAAGTGTGATTGACTTGGAGTTACATTGTGTTGTTTAAATGTTCCCTTTATTTTTTTGAGCAGTGTATATATATATATATATACTGAACAAAAATATAAACTCAACAATTTAAAAGATTTGACTGAGTTACAGTTCATATAAGGAAATCAGTCAACTGAAATAAATTCATTAGGCCCTAATCTATGGCTTTCCCATGACTGGGAATACAGTTATGCATCTGTTGGTCACATAAAAAGGTAGCGGGTGGATCAGAAAACCAGTCAGTATCTGGTGTGACCACCATTTGTCTCATGCAGCATGACGCATCTCCTTTGCATAGAGTTGATCAGGCAGTTGATTGTGGCCTGTGGAATGTTGTCCCACTCCTCTTCAATGGCTGTGCAAAGTTGCTGGATAATGGCGGGAACTGGAACATGCTGTTGTACACGTCGATCCAGATCATCCCAAACATGCTCAATGGGTGACATGTCTGGCGAGTATACAGGCCATGGAAGAACTGGGACATTTTCAGCTTACAAAGAATTGTGTGCAGATCCTTGCGACATGGGGCTGTGCATTATCATGGTGAAACATGAGGTAATGGCGGCAGATGAATGGCACAACAATGGGCCTCAGGATCGCCATACACGTGGCCTGCAGTTGTGACGCCGGTTGGACGTACTGCCAAATTCTCTAAAATTACATTGGCGGCGGCTTATGGTAGAGAAATTACCATTTAATTATCTGGCAAAAGCTCTGGTGGACATTCCTGCAGTCAGCATGTCAATTGCTCGCTCCCTCAAACGTTGAGACATCTGTGGCATTGTGTTCTGTGACACAACTGCACATTTTAGTGGCCTTTTATTGTCCCCAGCACAAGGTGCACCTGTGTAATGATCATGCTGTTTAATCATCTTATTGATATGCCACACCTGTCAGGTGGATTATCTTGGCAAATGAGAAATGCTCACTAACAGGGATGTAAACAAATTTGTTCACAGAATTTGAGAGAAATAAGCTTTTTGTGCATATGGAACATTTCTGGGATCTTTTATTTCAGCTCATGAAATATGGGACCAGCACTTTACATGTTGCGTTTATATTTTTGTTCGGTGTAGTTTGAAACTTATTTCGAGCAATTTAAAAAGCATTGATCGATCCTCTTGCTTGCTGAATTGCTATAAAATAGGTTACAGTGTTGGCAATGAACTGGCGGGGAAGTTTGAAGGGCGAGAGTGACATGTAGCTCTAGTGTGATGTAATCACATTGGCTAAATGTAATACATTGCTGCACTGATGCATTGTAAATAAAATAAAACGGGCAGAGAAATTAATTTATTTATTCTTTCACACCACAAACCTGTCAGTGGCAGTGCGCTGACTGTCAGTGGCAGGCTACCCTGTATTTTATGTCATATTAAAAAGATTCTGCTAATGTATACAGTCATAAAATGTAGTAGGCTAGAAATTGCATCAAATATGTTTATATAGGCCTATATTAATTAATGACAGTATCTTATGGCGCTAGTAAGACGTTAGGGGACTTGGTGAGAGACATCAGTAGCGTCTTTAGGCTTAATTTAGGCCTGTATCGCTCGCGATAAACCCCTTTACTGTTAGTGCGGCCTTACGCTTTGGTTCCGTCTATGCCGTCATGATAGTGTAGCCTGTGTACAACCAGTAGATGGAGCCAGAAACCATAACTTCAATATTTTCTTCTGGCCGTTGTTGAGTCACTAATGTTGCTTGTGTTATGGATACTTGTATGTTGCATTTCTGTAAGTTGTCCTTTCTTCTCATGCTCAGAAATCGAGGCCATCTTTACACTATGGCAAATGTGTAAAAACCAAAATAATCGGTCACTTACAGTATAACAGATCAGCGCCTTTCTCTCTCGTGTCTAGGTGGTGAAGATGAGTCGTCGTCTGGCGGGTCTGGAGAGGCAGAACGCTGAACGCAGACAGACTGAGCTGGTGCTCTTCTCCCTGTTCCTTTCTGCCTGCCTGCTCAACGGATGGCTCTGGATACGCAGATAACAGACACGCGTCACTCAAACAGCCCACTCATCTGCACTACAACCCTTGGTCCGCTCCAACCAGCTACTTTGCTCAGCTCTGCATTCCACATCCACTCAGCTGGGTAGTTTGTCAGTGCATTTATTCATACACACGTTGGTGTTAGATTCTGAGCACGTATAGATCGAAATGGCCCATCTCCTTTCTTTTAAGGCCAGGGGAGGAGGAAAGGAAGCAATTTGGACCACTTAAGTAGGGCCTTGACTATGAGGATAAAATGAAGGTGTTGAGAGTTAGATGTGGACAAATATGGACTAAGTTTATTGTGAAGGTGGATGCCGGCATATTTCAACATTATCAGGGATTGATCCATGTCATGTTTGCATAAAGGATTGGCCATCTCTGTGACTTGAACAGCTAATGCTTACCACGGCTGGAGGTGGTGATAGGAAATGATAGTGTTACTGCTGAGGCTCTTCTATATTCTTGTTGCTAAGTTGGATAATCAGATTCACGTCATAGGTCTGTCAAAACACAGCTTATGTAAACTTTTAACATTTCAATCTAGTTGGTAACCACTGGTGGTGGAATGCCATGGGTCAGTTGGTAACTGGTCCAAAGTGTCTAGTATACTATTATGGTGTGATTTACTTGGAACTCTTCAGACTTAAAGAAGCCTAAATTGTAATCCGTTTCAGACAGTACATAGGTAATAAGGTCCTTCCGTAAGGCCTAATTTAATCAAGACTTTAGTAAGACTTGTGTGTCTGCGTTTGAATGCCTGCAATATGAAGTGCTTTGAAGTTGGCTGCCTCAATTTATCCTATGAAATGATATACAGTCATATGTCATGTTTTTCTCAGAAGTCAAACGACATTAACCATGAATGTAAATTTAACACTAATTTATTACATGGGGTTTCTTGTTCTTTTTCCATTTTTGAAGTTGTACTGGGTTTTCTTGTGTATTTAATAAATTAGATTTGATATGTTGAGTGAGGTTTGATTGTGTTTTATCCGTTGGGTCTTTCACCTGCTTGAACCTTAGGTCTGGGGGCATATTCATTACGTCGATTCTGTTGCAAAAAGTTTCTTAAACAGAACAAAACAGGGAGGGACCTGAATTTGTCCAATATAAACTTGGAAAACATTTCCCAATTAAAACGTTTTCCGTTTGGACTAAACAGGCATAGCCTAACACCAATGGTTTGACATTTGAGTCATTATTTCTAAACATCGATTGAGCCTACACTTTCTAGCGCCGTTTTGAACTTCTAACACAGTAGGGATAAGGGAGTGGTTTGTGACACGAGCAACCGCACACCTATGTCCGCTCATACCGCAGTTCCACCTCCAAAACATATGGGGTGTATTCATTATGCAGATTCTGTTGCAAAACGTTTGGCTGCATGGGATTGGTGTGGTTTTGTTGCATCCAATGGCAGTGTCCGCGATAGGCAACAAGCTGCTTGTGGATTTGACAGCTCTAATGCAGTTCCACCTCTGACCCCACCAAGACACTGCTATGTGTATGTCAATCTGATTTTAATCTAGCCCTTAGATATCGAAGAGGTCAATTAGTATAGTTCCACTGCATTTTTTTCATTGTTCCCCTCTAATCAGGGACTGATTTAGACCCGGGACACCAGGTGGGTGCAATTATCAGCTAGAACAGAAAACCAGCAGGGTGGTCGGAGGCTCCGTATGTAGGGTGTGACACACAAGCAAATATATTGATAAGTCCCCTTGTCCTAGAGAGATTTACAGGGTTATCAAAACGTCACGCCAGGGTAAGCCTACACGAAACACAGCCCTAATTTTAAGTGTTTCTAAAATCCCCTATGGGAAAAATGAATGGTGGAAAAACTTGGATTGGAACCATTTCCCTGTTTGACCGCTAGGTTTCATGGGTATTATGACTCATTCTGTGGTGGTCTAGACCAAAAAAATAAAGAAAAATGTGTAGTGTACATTCCAATAGAGCATAATGCATGTATATTTATTTAACAAAAATGTAATACTAAACCAAGTAAACTCACTATCTGAAACATTTGGAAAGTCATTATTTGGAACATTGTCAGGAGTACATAAATTACACCCCAAAAAAGTTAAACCACAAATAGAAACCGCATGAGATTATTTTTTTGTAAAAACCAGATGGTTGATTAGAAATACAATTTAATTAAACATGAATGGCGATTGTACAGTAATGACATTGTCAAGCAGCATCTATTTTACAGACTTTGTGTAAAGGCACAAATACTAGAAGACCTTGCATCTTTAAAAAAGTAACATACATTCCTACCAGAGGTACTGGTAAACTCACCAACTATCTGCTCAACATTGACCACAAAGTTTGATGATAATCATTCCCATCACCACACTGATAAGGCAGGTCTGCAGGCTCACTTTGACTTAAACATGTAAATGTTGAGCACTTGTGAAATCGTCTGTTCGACAGTAATGGGTACAGAACATATTTTTCTGCTCAGAACAATGAGGGCCTTGTGACATTGTGTTGAAATTTGAAGCAAGACCCAAGGACTGGCCCTCGGGTGGGACCGCAAAGAGTTGCATATGCTATCAGTACAGAGTTTAAGCGGAACACCTTTGCTTTAAAGAGTTGAAATAATTTAAGTATAAATTATATTTTCAGAAGCTTCAGGTGCAGGCTGGTACAGTACTTGATAATGGGGACATTGAAATGTCTATATGATTGTGAGTCACACCATGAGAAAACATTTGATGCTCTCCCAATAAGTTGAACATTAAATCCATTGGCCTTTTGAAAATGTAACCATTGAAAAGTGTCATTTTACAAACAGTAAAACAGCAAGTGCAACTGATAGCCATCCAAATGAGCCTTAGCGAAGCTGAAAATGTACAGAAAAATAAATAAGAATGAAGCGTTCAACACCATAGTCCCCACCCAAGGTTCAGTCTCCAATCCCAGGGTCCATTGTCTATCCTGGACAGCCAACTTGACACTATAAGGGGAGAAATTGCCCCCTGTGCTGGACATTTTTAATTTCTGAACACTGGAATAGTGCTTTTTATTCAGTTACAAAACTGACATACTGTACACTATATATACAAAAGTTTGTGGACACCCCTTCAAATTAGTGGATTTGGCTATTTTAGTCACACCCGTTGCTGACAGGTGTATAAAATCGAGCACACAGCTATGCAATCGCCATAGACAAACATTGGCAGTAGAATGGCCTTACTGAAGAGCTCAGTGACTTTCAACGTGGCACCGTCATAGGATGCCATCTTTCCAACAAGTCAGTTCGTCAAATTTCTGCCCTGCTAGAGCTGCCCCGGTCAACTGTAAGTGCTGTTATTGTGAAGTGGAAATGTCTAGGAGCAACAACGGCTCAGCCGCGAAGTGGTAGGCCACGCAATCACAGAACAGGACCGCCAAGTACTGAAGCGCGTAAAAATCGTCCGCCCTCGGTTGTAACTCTCACTACCGAGTTCCAAACTGTCTCTGGAAGCAACATCAGCACAATAACTGTTCATTGGAAGCTTCATGAAATGGGTTTCCATGGCCAAGCAGCCGCACAAAAGCCTAAGGTGCCCTCCAGGACACCTACAGCACCCGATGTCACAGGAAGGCCAAAAAGATCATCAAGGACATCAACCACCCGAGCCACTGCCTGTTCACCCCGCTATCATCCAGTAGGCGAGGTCAGTACAGGTGCATCAAAGCTGGGACAGAGAGACTGAAAAACAGCTTCTATCTCAAGACCATTAGACTTAAATAGCCATCACTAGCACAGAGGCTGCTGCTGCCTATTTGAAATCAATGGCCACTTTAAGAAATGGAACACTAGTCACTTTAATAATGTTTACATATCTTGCACTACTCATCTCATATGTATATACTGTTTCTATTCTATAATATTCTACTGTATCTTAGTCCACGCCGCTCTGTCATTGCTTGTCCATATTCATATATTTTCTTAATTCCATTCCTTACTTAGATTTGTGTGTATTGGGTATATGTTGTGAAATTGTTAGATATTACTGTACTGTCGGAGCTAGAAGCACAAGCATTTCGCTACACCCGCAATAACATCTGCTAAACACGTATGTGACAAATAAAATTTGATTTTATTTGATTTGTAAAGCTCGCCGCCATTGGACTCTGGAGCAGTGGAAACACGTTTTCTGGAGTGATGAATCACGCTTCACCATCTGTCAGTCTGACGGACAAAACTGGGTTTGGCGGATGCCAGGAGAACGCTACCTGCACCAATGCATAGTGCCAACTGTAAAGTTTGGTGGAGGAGGAATAATGGTCTGCGGCTGTTTTTCATGGTTCGGGATAGGCCCCTTAGTTCCAGTGAAGGGAAATCTTACTGCTACAGCATACAATGACATTCTAAATGATTCTGTGCTTTCAACTTTGTGGCAACAGTTTGGGGAAGGCCCTTTCCTGTTTCAGCATGACAATGCCCCCGTGCACAAAGCGAGGTCTATACAGAAATGGTTTGCGAGATCGGTGTGGAAGAACTTGACTGGCCTGCACAGAGCCCTGACCTCAACCCCATCGAACATCTTTGGGATGAATTGGAACGGCGACTGGAGCCAGGCCTAATCGCTCAACATCAGTGCACGACTTAACTAATGCTCTTGTGGCTGAATGGAAGCAAGTCCCCGCAGCAATGTTCCAACATCTAGTGGAAAGCCTTCCCAGAAGAGTGGAGGCAGTTATAGCAGCAAAGGGGGGACCAACTCCATATTAATACCCATGATTTTGGAATGAGATGTTCGACGAGCAGGTGTCTACATACTTTTGGTCATGTAGTGTACTTCTTTCAAACACTGGCCTACCTGCATCAGCCAGGTTGGAGAAATTGAGCTACAAGGGGACAGTTTGTTTGAGCAGGGGAAGTTCAGTTTTGTTCAGACAGTATTGACCTCAGTGTTTTTTTATTTAAAATGTCCACTTGTAACCTATTGAAATTAAAGACAATAGTGGGGTCAGGCCAGGAGACTGGCTGGTGGAGTGTTTCTTTGGTCCCACATTTTTGGCTTTGGATTAAAAATGCTCACAACTGCTACCTAGATTGTGATGTGAGTGGATATTTCAGTCACTGTTAAAAAGTAGCTGATGTGATATCTATAAATCATTGTCTGTAATACGAGCTACAGACAAACTCATTCTGTTACCTTTGGTCAAAAGAAAGGGATATGTGCGGTTTTGAAACTGGCTTGGATTTCAACTGCTAACACTTATCACCACATAGGCTGCGTTTAACCAGGCAGCCCAATTCTGATCTTTTGCCCAATTATTGGCAAAAGCGCTGATCTGATTTGTCAAAAGACCAATTAGTGGAAAAAGATCAGAATTGGGCTTTCTTTTTAAACGCAGCCACATAGTTTCATATATACAATGTAAATCAAGCTTGTAAATAGGTGTAGAAAGACAGTTGATTATCAGATTGTTGCATAAACTAGTTAAAATCCCAACAGACTATTTTAGGCCTAATATCATTTGAAGCAAGTCTGTGCGGAAGACCCTACCAAACCCAGCCAGACTGGAATGAAGGTCACTTAACAGGTATAGTGGATATCTTAACTGATGCATAGGCACATCGGTGAACACCAAACCTCTTCTACTGCTGCACTTCAAAAGAGACAGACCCCATCCAGTGGGGTCACACAGGCAGCACATTGGACCACAGTAGAAATGTGTGAGTCTCGCTCCCCCAAGTTTTCCACTGTGACTTGGGGGGCCGGGCCCCCAATACTTTAAACAGTGCACTGTGGTCCTTGGCTGGCAGTGCCATGTAACTGAATGGCTTCTAAAAACCTATTCCATTCAGTTAAGTTAAATGATACACATGCCATACATACAGTATCTAAATACAGTATTTACAGGTTAAAATAATGTTTTGTAGTTTACAATATCACTTTGATTACCCAAGTGCCACGTCTAACATTGGTGAATAATGCACTGTCTACAACACATAAATAGATTACCTAAGTCAGACTTAAAGTAAAAATATATATTTGTAAACACTCAAAAAAAATAAGTAGTGCAATAAAGCCAATACATTTGGTCCAAGGGGACTAGTTAACCAATAGCCTCCAGCAACACTGTTCAAGAGAGTTCATTGATCATTCTGATGACACTAAAACCTCCCGACTCACAAACTGTACACGGTATTGTTCATTAAAACACATCTAAAAAGTAGTGCATTTTAACACACCCTCGGTCACCCGACAACTAGTTAAACACCAAACATTGAAAAAAGAAACAAAAAAAGGAATCCTTCACCTATTTTGAAAGTGTGTGTCTGTGAATGTGTGTGTATTGATTGTGCACAAACACACATTGTCCTCCTGTCCTGTCCTGTGACCTATAGAGGCCATGGTTCAGTTCAGATGAGAATCTCCACCATGTCGTTGTCCACCTCCTGTTGAGAGGCTGATGGGGCCTGGGGGTGGGACTGCAGCAGGGCACGCCTCTCCAGGATACTGCTGTGGAACACTGGCACATCTACAGACACACCGGGAGAAGGTTAGTCAACTGATCAAAGGGTACGTCTACCCCCAAAACAAAGATTTGGCCTATTCCCCAATCCCCATATAATGCACTACTTTTGACCAGAGCCACATAAGTAGTGCACTATAAAGTGAATAGGCCATTTGCCTTGGAGAAAATAATATCCTGCACACTATATTTGAATAGGAGATTTGACCACATATTGCCCACCCAGAGCATCTGACCCACTCCCTCTTAACCACTTCCCCCCCAGCTACTGCTTGGTTGAAACAAATTGGATTATTTATTGAATTAGTCTCGCACCACGTCAAAACAGATTTTAAACAAAAGCCTATTTGCGCTTGGTTAAATAATTTTCCTAGAAACGATTCAGTTCAGCCTGAAGTGTTGGGCTACACTGACAATCACAAGCGTCGTTTGCCATTCTGCTACGTTAGCACTGCGCATTGCAGAAGCATCCTCGTGGGTCACGTCTAGACTAATTGAAAGTTTACATTTCTCAAATTGTAGACAGCGAACACTCTAAAATACTTGATATTAACTGGGTCTGACTCTGGACTCTAGTTAAATCCTATAGTTAAAGCATATAATTAGGACCTGTGGTCAGGACAAACTCCTGGCCCTACTTGTGTTCACGGCGGACTACACAAATGTGGAGTGATGTAAAAAATGGTTTATCTAATGTACTATACTGTAACATAGTCCTAAAGATGGCGGCTTGCCCTGTCCTACTGTACCTGCAATGCGGTCAGGTATGTAGACGGGGCTGGGGCTGGAGAGGCGGCTTGGCAGGGTCATGCTCTGCAGGGCTGGGGTGCTAGGCTTGCTGCTAGCCTCCTGGCTCTGGCCCTTGTCTGTCTGGGTGCAGCTGTCCCTGCTGCCTGTCTTAGAGTGGCCCACTGTCAGGGGCAGGACTGGGGAGGGAGATGACGAGATGGACTCTGTCCTCAGAGAATCGGTACGGTACTCTGGACCCAACAGAACTCCTGAGGGGAGGGAACAGAGGAGATCTGTTAGGCATGTGGTGGTGCTGGGTTACCCATGACAAGCTCTAAAGTTGTTTATTGATGCACATGGAAGCAAGTTGAAGTAAGATAAAATAGTAGATAGTAACATACACACAACAATTAAGCAGGATTCAATCAGCCCATACTGAAAATATTAAATCTGAGTGAGCCAGCAGCACAGCACCATTGCATAATATTAAACTTCCCACCCTCCTTCCTGACCAGGAGACTATTACTCAGCCTGATGATTCAATCAATCAAATGTATTTATAAAGCCCATTTTACATCAGCAGATGTCACAAAGTGCTATACAGAAACCCAGTCTAAAACCCCAAACAGCAAGCAATGCAGATGTAGAAGCACTAGGAAAAACTCCCTAGAAAGGCAGGAACCTAGGAAGAAACCTAGAGAGGAACCAGGCTCTGAGGGGTGGCCAGTCCTCTTCTGGCTGTGCCGGGTGGAGATTATAAGAGTACATTGCCATTTAAGGCCAGATTGTTCTTCAAGATGTTCAAACGTTCATAGATGACCAGCCGAGCATTCAGAGGTCGAGACAGCAGGTGCGGTAGAGAGAGAGAGTGTCGAAAACAGCAGGTCCGGGACAAGGTAGCATGTCTGGTAAACAGGTCAGGGTTCCCTAGCTGCAGGCAGTTGAAACTGGAGCAGCAGCACGACCAATGTTACTACTGAACTCTAAGTTACATTCCAAACCCACAGCTGAAGACCATTCATGTCAATGATACCCTCCACACCCCTTTGTCTTTCCGTCATCACTCTCTGACGCACACATCTCAGGGGCCTGTGAATCAACTTCCGGTACCCTCCCTGCCCTCTTCCTCCAAACCAGACTTCCAGCTTTTGTCCCTCTACTCTGCATCTGAAATGACACCCTATTCCCCTTATAGTGCACTACTTTTCACAAGAGCCCTAGGCTGAGTCTGGTCAAAAGTAGTGCCCTCCCTAAGTCTGCAGTTCCACTATCTAACCCACTCAATTCAAATGTATCCATCAAATATAACAGGGGAAAGCTCAAATAGCCTTTGTCATGTGGCACATAACATAACCCAACCCCATGAAAACCAATATAATTCCTACCCAGGCTGCCCTTCCAGCTGCTGTCCTTGCGCTCTTCTGTGATGGGGGAGCTGCTGAGGCCCAAGCTGTGGGAGAGCAGGCCCGAGCCGCCCGTGTTGGCGATGGACATCAGGGACTTGGAGGGTCGCATGATGGCTGCGGCATCCCGGTCCTTGTTGGGATCCTTCCTGGAACGCTGGTGGAGCACTTTGATCATGGCATCCTTCTCAATGATCTGGGCGTGCAGGTTCTTGATCCTGTGGGACGGGACATGAGTACAGTTATTCAAATAAAATAAAGTACAACATCCTGTAAAGTGCAGACTGCATTAACATTTTCATTTGATTGTGTTCTGTATGATCAGTGAGAACAATGGGAGTTATAGACTGGATTTGACTGGGGTCACGGTTACACCCTATAACGGGTCTAGGGTAAGTGGTTGTGTAGGCTGTTAAGGATAGTATCTGTACAGTGCACTGTACAGAATATGATTATTATATGAAATTGATAGGTTTAACGCCTCTCCAGGCATTTTGAAGATCAGTTGATCTGAATAGACCTGTGCAGAATGTGTCTAATAACTATTCACCTGCTTTCCATGTCTAGGCAGCGGCGGTTGGCCATGAGGATCTCCTCCTCCTCCTTCTGGATACGAGCCTCCACTGACAGCTGCTGCTCATAGCTGCTGCTGGCGGAGTCGCTTATCACTGACGACGACGTGTCCCTCTGGGTGGCGACGGAGGCGGCGGCGTCCAAGGCAAACTGCCTCATGACGCTCTCCTCCAGGTACTTCTGCTCCCACTTGGTCATGTCTGCCTCCAGGGCCAGGATCCTCTCCTCCTTCTCCCTTAGGTGCTCCATCAGAGCCGTGGAGTTGTACTCCTGACCACTGCTGCTGCTCTGGGAGCCGCCTTGTCTCTGGATGGGTGGAAGGGAGGCAGGGAGACAATGGGGGTGGAAGGTATGGTCGTTAGTAAACATAATTATTCAAGAGCTCGACCGCCATCCAAGTGAGCAATAAACTCACATTCACAGACACATTTGTATTACCAATACACACAATTTCTGCCTAAATCATTGGCCTATGGCAACACTGGCTGGTAGAGAGGTAGGGCTCCAAGTCTGTCGGTAGTCTCTGTTGACCAGGCAGTCTGTCTGCTCCCAAAGGCGCTAATGGAATATGCTATGAAAAAGTATTTTCCCCCTTTCTAATTTTCTCTACTTTTGCATATTTGTGATACTGAATGTTATCAGATCTTCAACCAAAACCTAATATTAGATAAAGGGAACATAAGTGAACAAATAACACAACAATTACATATTTATTTCATAAACAAAGTTATGCAACACCCAATTCCCCTGTGTGAAAAAGTAATTGCCCCCTTACACTCAATAACTGGTTGTGCCACCTTTAGCTGCAATGACTCCAACCAAATGCTTCCTGTAGTTGTTGATCAGTCTCTCACGTCGCTGTGGAGGAATTTTAGCAATTTTCATGTAGACTTGATTGTGTGTTTTGGATCATTGTCTTGCTGCATGACCCAGCTGCGCTTCAGCTTCAGCTCACAGACGGATGGTCTGACATTCTCCTGTAGAATTCTCTGATACAGAGCAGAATTCATGGTTCCTTCTATTAAGGCAAGTCGTCCAGGTCCTGAGGCAGCAAAGCATCCCCAAACCATCACACCACCACCACCATGCTTGACCTTTAGTATGATGTTCTTACTGTGGAATGCAGCGTTTGGTTTTCGCCAGGCATAATGGGACCCATCTCGTCCAAAAAGTTGACTCAAGTTTGCCAAAAAGCACCTGGATGATCATCAAGACTCTTGGAAGAACGTTCTATGGACAGATGATTCAAAAGTATAACTTTTTGGACGACATGGTTCCAGTAATGCCTGGCGAAAAGCAGCCAACAAGTGCTCAGCATATGTGGGAACTCCTGCAAGACTATTGGAAAAGCATTCCAGGTGAAGCTGGTTGAGAGAATGCCAAATGTGGGCAAAGCGGTCATCAAGGCAAAGGGTGGCTATTTGAAGAATCTCAAATATAAAATATATTTTGATTTGTTTAACACTTGTTTGGTTACTACATGATTCCATATGTGTTATTTCATAGTTTTGATGTCTTCACTATTATTCTACAATGTAGAAAATAGTTTAAAAAATTAAGAAAAACCCTTGCATGAGTAGGTGTTCTAAAACTTTTGACCGGTAGTGTACGTGTTCGTGAGAGACTCACCTTAGAGGGGTCATATTAGTGTGTAGCCCAAACTGTTGGACGCTACAGACGTTTTCGTGAGATGCGGTGGATTGAGACGCAGCCCATGCAAAAAAACAGATATTTCTATCTTAAACAGACGGATTTTGCTGGGGATTAGATTTTCACGGGGCCGCGGAAATTTACTCAAGAGGGTTAACACACCATGTGTGTCTGACTGTATCTGATGAGTGTATAGCTTGTATGTGTGTCTCTCACCTGCTGCATGCGCAGTGACTCCAGCTCCCTCTCCAGCCGCGTGCGTAAGCGGTGCTCCAGCTGCTCTCTCTTCTCACAGGCAGCCTGGAGCTGGGCCAGGGCCTGCTGCATGCGCTCTACCTTCTCCACATACACCTGCTTCTTCTTCAGCTGCAGCCAGGGAGACAAAACACACAGACAGGATGTGGTCAGGGCACAGACAGGAAGTAGACAGGAAGTAGGGGGTTTGCATTCCATTCCAGAAACCTGCTCCCCCCTTTAAGACGACTTGTTCACTCCCGTTCTGACTGGGTTGGTGAAAGCAATGGTTTCCCCTTGTTTGCACCACAATAATTGCTCTCACCTATCCAGTCCTATTAGGTCGTTGACAAGGAATGAAAACACAGGAGTTGAAATACGGCCAGGGAGGAGACAGGGAAACTCCCTGCCCCCCTTCCTCCAAACATCCCCCACCTAGTGCCCAACTCCAACTCCCCAATCCAAGATAATGCAGTCTGTGTCCTTGATGACCATGTTTCAAAGTCTCTCTGCACTGCAGTCAGTTTCAACTGCAGCAGGAGCTATAACTGTGGCTCTATTCAATGGACTGATTTAGCTCAGGGAGACTATTTTTTAAGAAAGACGAGAAAGGAAGAGAGAGAAAGAGAGGGAGAAATAGAGGAGCATATACAGAGTTCCCACACTGACAGAGAAACAGAGGAGAGAGAGAGAGCAGGCCAAGAATCTGGCACTGTTCAGAGCTCTTTCATGGCAGATATAAAACTCTAACTCAACGGCCTTTGTTCACGGAAACAAGCGGGCATTTGTGGCGGTGCCGGGCAGAAGAAGTGGAGCAGCCCTGTGCTTTTTAGGACACTCCAGGTCTGTTTCCCGCTCCGCTCGGCCCGAACTGGCTAACTAGCCATCTGGGCTATTTCAGACACATTACTAGCCAACCAACAGAACCAACCAGCCAGGGGCATAAAAGCTTGGAGCAGCTCCAGAACTCGGAGCAGCTCCACATGGGAGTTATGTCCAGGCCCACACAGAGGCCAGTCTTTTGTGCCATTCCTCTGGCCTCTAGCAGGCTATTCCTCTGGTCTCTAGCAGGCTGGGCCATTCCTCTGGCCTCTAGCAGGCCATTCCTCTGGCCTCTAGCAGGCTGGGCCATTTCTCTGGCCTCTAGCAGGCTGGGCCATTCCTCTGGCCTCTAGCAGGCTGGGCCATTTCTCTGGCCTCTAGCAGGCTGGGCCATTCCTCTGGCCTCTAGCAGGCTGGGCCAGGGACTGGGGTGATCTAGCCTCTAGTGGCGATCAGGGACTGCCATCTGCTCACTGGAGTGGGACACATTGATCTTATCAGAAACACTGACTTCTGAGGGAAGCAAATTTAAAGAGGAAGGAATTTTATTTTGGGGATTGTTTGTAGTTTTCACTGGGTTTTGGATCTGAGGACAGGTAGCAGTTGCTTGGGTAACAACGAATGATGTTTTGAGTAAATGTAAACAACTCATTTTGCAGTCTTTGGTCTTACCTTTTAAACAGTGCAAACCAACCCCATGGATCACAACTGAACACATACCAGACCCCGTCTTCCGCCAACGACATCATCAATACCAGGTGATAGGATGGATGACATTGTGGTTCAATACTGATATTCTCAGGCTATCAAGCTTAATGGTGACACAACCAGAGAAAGACGGGGAACATACTGTAGCTAGATTATTTTTTTACGCGCAACAGAAACTCATGCCTATGCTTGTCCACCAGGAGGCCTAAATATACCCTCGAGTTCAATCAATTGAACTAATGCCAGTAAGTATTCAAGTATCCAAGACATTTCTGATATCACCTATTCATGAAGCAACAGGGAGAACATCATGGCTGCGTTTACACAGGCAGCCTAATTCTGATATTTTTCCAACATAATTGGTCTTTTGACCAATCAGATAATCTCTTTTGCCAATAATTGGGCAAAATATCAGAATTGGATTGCCTGTGTAAACACAGCATTTAATACAGTCAGATCCTCACCTCCTCCTCCAGTTTGACTACTTTGGCCTGGGCGTTGTTGAGAGCATGGTCCCTGATCTCAATGTGTCGTCTCTGGTCGTCCGTGGAGGAGTGCAGGGAGTTCAGCTCTATCTCCAGCTTCTCCTTCTCACGCACCGTCTCTTTGTCTGAGAGACACATACACAACACGCTGAGGACTAGCCCTTTAAAGAAGTGATCTTCCTTTCATTTACTAAAAATAGTTATGTCATGAGCTGACTTTTTGAAATGGCATTGTCCATATTAACTAAACATCTTAACCAGTGTTTTGTGTGTGTGTGTGTGTCATTTTTGTTAAAAACAATGACTTGAATGCAACTTCTAGTGAATAAGTAGTGTTTTTACAGTACATGAGCCCCAGACCCTTTGCCTGGTTATTTTTCTAACTGATGAGGTCACACAGAGGTATGTTCAGAGTGGATGTAGAACGTCAGAGAGTCTTGGTCTAGCCTGGCGTTCCCTGATAGTGTGAGTGATGTGCTCACTCTGGGTGAGTAGCTGAGAGATGGTCTTGCGGTTGTCCTCCGTTCCCTCACACTCCTTAGCAGCTAGCTGCTTGTTGGCAGTTTCCATGCGCTCTGCAACAGAGAATGGCATTGCTAAAGTCAGGTCCGATCCAGCCTGATGGCCTAGTGGCCGAAGAGACACACACTGCACACACACACACATGTGAATACACACACACACACACCTGCGCGTGCACACACGCATACACAAATATACTCTTATTTTTGTAAATCAAATATTTGCAGATTAGATCATAATATGGCAACACAACATGGTCAAACAAGGGAATAAAGCTCCTTAAAGAGAACACTCAAACTCTTTGCAGAGTTGCACATTCCATGTAACCAGCCTCTAGTTAATATGCAGGATATGCGTAGTAGGTATTGTGATTTTGGTGCTATTAAACAGCTCAAACAGACTTTTAACATACGGCTCTGTGATTGTGTAAATGTAGCCGTACAGACAGAGGGGCCGTGGAATGAAGTGAATATGGAGGTGGAGGGAATTCACTATCCCCTGAAGAGAATTTAACATGGAACGGCTCTAAGTTCTTAAGATCCCAGCCTTCGTTCCACTTACATTAAACGCCTTGGGGCCCGGTTGCTCGGCAAAATGGAGCAAAATAAAATAAAATAACTTTATTTCCCCGCAGAGGGGGAGAGGAGGTGGTCATCATTCTCTTTTTCTTGCCCACCTACACCATAATGTGAGGACAACTTTATTATTTATTTGTCATTTAAAACATGGTGCAAATTCATCACATTAAATATATATAAAAATCAGTACAACAGGCACCAAATATTATTTAGTGTCCTCTTGATATCCACTCCCATCCCACAATTCTTCCACCTCTTATCCCTTCCCACCCCACCATCCCATGTACATATAACTACTTATTGTAGGTCAACTACAACCAAAAAGTAAGAAAGAACTGAAAAGTATGGTAAGAAAAAAAGAAAAGAAAAAAAATGGAGTCAGGAGAACTTTGTCCATAAACAAAACAGGCCATTATTTCTGGGCCAAACGTTAAAGCTGCAATATGTAACTTTTTGGGGCGACACCACCAAATTCTCACAGAAATGTGAGTTATAGATCTGTCATTCTCATTGAAAGCAAGTCTAAGAAGCGGTAGATCTGTTCTATGTGCGCGTTTCATTTTTGCATCTTTTACTTTCGGTTTTGTACACCATCTTCAAAACAGCTGAAAATTAAATATTTTGGATTATTGAACAGATATTTCACAGCGGTTTAGACGGTACAATGAATCTCTACACATTGCTTGTTTTGTCACAAACTGAAATTAGGCGAACTATTAGAATTTTAGCAACCAGGAAATGGTGGAGCGATTTCTGCATTTTGCACCTTTAAAATAATATTTTGTTGAGTGTTAAGTCAACCAGGCTGGGCCATGAAACATACAGAGAGCATTCCAGAAACAAATATTCAGTTGTTCCATTTCCATTCCCTGTGTTTCTCGAAACACAACAATGACTGGGGTATGTGTTTAGCCTAAACCCCCAAAAGTGGAGCAAGATCCATTTCACATGTGTACAGCTGCCAATATGATGGGAGAAAAAAAGAGAGGAAGGAGAGACCTAAAAAAAAGTTATATGCGATTTGTTGTAAAAGCTTGGAATCTCCCCATGGACCTGGTCTGGGCAGGGAGCCATGAATGGAGGTTTTTCTTTCCTCTGCAGGACTGAAGAGCCCAGTGAAGTACAGACTAGAGACATGAAACTGCCTCCACCCACTCTGCTTCAGCTCAGAAATTCCTACAGAAACAGAGTGTGAGGATTGGAGCTCTAAGGGTCTTTGGTCTGCTTTCTGGTAAAGATATGAAGTTGAGACTTTGGACTGCCTGTAAACACTAACATATCTATTTTATTGATCATATTGATTAATTGACAGATCGACCAATTGATTGCTCTTTTACTTTTGCTCAGTACTTTTCCTCTGTGCCAAAGTCAATACTAGGGCTGTGGGTGTCATGGCATTGTGTCAGCCGGTTATTGTAATGCAAAGTCTGCTGGTCTCACGGTAATTGACTGTTAATTAACATAAACACATTTAGCATCTCCAGGCCCCCATGCATACAAGCCACTGATGCGCGCCTTTGGAACATCTACATTTAAAAAAGTATAATAAATCAATTTAATATACACCATCACAATAAATCCATTATTTATTTTAGGCAGGTCTAAAGAAACATGATATGAAGAAAATGTATTTCAGAAGAACATGCCACAGGCATGCCATAGGCTGTTGGCTTGTTCATTTAGCAGTCAAGATATGCTTATAAATCCTGTGCCATTATTTTATATTATATGATTTTATAGTAAGAAGAATATAATTGAACTCCCTGAATAAAATAGGAAGGATATTTTTCACATTCAGGAGCAAGTGCGCATGTGAAGTGGCTATGTTGAGCATAAAAGTGATATATTGAAACAGGTCCTATATGCTAGATTTAGAGTTATTTGGCAACTTTAGTTGTGAATGATACAATCCTTAGAATGTCTTCGAAATCAAAACATATATTGGCTGCATGATGCGACTATATAAAAAAAAGCTTGCGCTCTGTTCCTTGCCTCAGGCTGCAAATGCTGTTCTCTCATCAAGTGATCATATTTTCACCCATCAGAATATTCTCAATTTAATCTTGTCATTACCAATATGTAAAATATGTTTCGATTTAGAATGGCCCATTATCAAATGGGCAGGAACAGGGGGGGAAAAAGACATGTCATCCATATGCACTCCGAGAGGCTACACGACAGGTGATATTCGGCCCAAACTCTGTATGCCATGAGCTCCCCAAACCTTTTCCTGCAACTACACAGTACTTAATTTGGGAAACCAAGTGAAATCTGTTCGGGAACATTGATAGTAACATGCTTTCACAACAAAACATATTTCATTAAACTGTTGACAGCCCCTCTCTCTGCGCGCTCAAGAAAGGAATGAAGGAGAGAGAGGAGATGGAAACGCACGGTAGGGAGATATTCTGTAGCTAAAGGTAATGTGTCAGCCTATTAATTATGAAAATATAAAAAATGCCCTACTACTAGGGTATTCAAAATCAAATACAAATTCACTATAATTGTAGGCTAACTCTGTAAACTGCCCTGCACAGTCAATGAACCAACATCATCGCCTAGGCCTATACGTTTTCTCCCAGACTCATGGATAGAAAGTTTGGAGCGTAGCATAAGGTAACCAGTCCACCCAGTATGCATAATAATACAGTCCACACTTAAAGGCGATTACTAGAATTTATTACATTTTTGAGTATAGGCTAGACCAATTATGTCCCAAAGACATCTTAAATGCGTTTTTTTAAATGTTTTTCTGCCGTGCATAATATGCAGTAGGCTATGCATTGTATAATGGCACAATCTTTATTTTAATTCAGGGGGGTTTTTTCGGGCTTGGGCTCATATATAGGCCTATACGTATGCATAACTCTAATATGCGTATGGGTGTTTTGAATTAATCATCACCTTATGCTGTCCATTTCGTTGTGTTAAGCTTTGAAACAATATCCACAACGACCATGTTTTCCACTCAGTTTCAAACTGTTGTTGAACTTCTTTCTTCAAATTGATCAATCACAGTGAGGTGAGTTTTAATAGCACATACTGTTTAGATGATAAGTGTTTGATGTGATTTTCAATTTCATTTGCATTGATGTCAGAGAAGTTAGAGGGACAATAGAGCCCTGAGTACCAGGCCATTAGGACCTGATGGTAGTTAGCGAGTTGGGTACTACCAACACATGTCCAGAGTGCATAAAAGGAGATTACCGGGATTTAACGGTCACGTGGAATTTTACTGCGGTCATGACTCATAGCTTCCGGTATGGCGGTAATACGGTCACCGCGACAGCCCTACTCAATACACTGTAATGCCATTATGAGCAACACAGGTTTCAACAACATCACAGCACTCTAGTCAAATGCTTATAAATAGGACCAGACGGAATTGGTGGAAGCTGGATATCTCCAAATCCTCAGACAATCCATTCAAATCAAACGTAATAGTGGAATCAATGCAAACCAAACCCGGCTTCTGAACATGAATAAATACATTTTACTGAACAAATATGCAGGCAAAGCTGTTGAAGTATCCTAAATCTAATGTAGAAAGAACACACACACTTTTTGCTCACAAAAAGTTATGTTTTCTTTCAATAAATTGAGCATGGAATAGGTTTAATCTACTGCCATAAATCCATGAACAGGTATCCTTTTAACATTAAACTATGCATGCCTTGGATATTCCAGCTGATTATGGCCACTCACCTCTCAGGTCCCTGTTGAAGTCATGCAGCCTGCGCACCTCCAGCTCCAACTTGTTCCTCATGGTTTTCTCCAGAGCCTCCCTCTTAGTGGACGACTTGGCCAGGTTCTCATAGGCCTCCGACACCAGCGTGATCTCTGTCTCCAACTGACCAGGGAGAGAAAGGGGATGGGGAGAGAAAGAGAGAGAGATGGGGGAGGGGCTAGCACTTAGGCAATTGTGTGGATCTAAAAGGATTGGATGGGTGTATGCAATATGTCAGAAGAGGGCAAGGTGAAACTATAACCATACTGCTTATACCCATTCAAACCTTTCAGATAACATTAAGTGCCCTACATTGATTTTACATGTGTAAACGATTCATTTGTCCCCCTTTTACCTTCTGCAGCTTGGTGACCTTCTCGCAGCACACCTCCATCTCCTGCTTGAGCAGCCGGTTCTCCTCTGACAGCATGTCCACCATCTGCTGGGCGCGGGCCATCATGGCGAAGGGGTCCCCCTGGGGGTGGGGGTAGTGCTGGGGAGGGTGGCCCTGGGATGACTGGGAGTGGTACTGTTGGTGCTGGTGTTGGAGTTGTTGTTGCTGCTGCTGCTGCTGCTGCTGCTGCTGCTGCTGTTGTTGTTGTTGTTGTTGTTGTTGTTGTTGTTGTTGTTGTTGTTGTTGTTGTTGTTGTTGTTGTTGTTGATACTGGTGGTGCTGCTGCTGGTAGTGCATCCTGGAGGTGGAGCCGTAGGGGTCGTGTGGGAAGCCGTGGCCCCTCTGAAGTGGAGGGTGCATGGGCCCGGGACCATACGGGTCTCCCTGATGTGATCCAGGGCCCTGCGGGCTTCGGGGACCCATGGAGGCATAGGGGTCCCCTTGTGGGTGGGGGTGTGTGTGGGAGGGGTGGGAAGAGTGGGAGGCGCTGAGAAGACTACTGAGGGTGGAGGACTGGGCTCGGGACAGAGAGCCGACTGAGGTGACCGAGGAGGTGGGGCTGTGGTGATGGACAGACCTCTGGGAGTGGATTGAGCTCTCCTTATTGGACCTGTGGACACGACAGCCAATCAGAGAGGTTAATACTAATGGAATGTTAGTTTGTTTACCTTATGAATGTATGTGGGTCTTTGGGTCACTCAAGCACGTGCTGACACCAACAGTCCATAGATATTATCATAACTTCTATCTTAGTGCTTGTTTATATAAATATATCACCAGGCAAAACATAGACAGTGATACTATCTGTTTAATGTAAACTATGGTGATTCACCTGCCATACACCAACAAGTTTTTTTTCAAATGACCAAAAAACTATTGTGAACCACTTTGGAAATAAGCAAACATTCCTGTGTCTACATGGGACGTCATCAGAGAGCGAACAATCGTGTCGCCACAGGTTTCAGCTGATGATCAAAATGCTGTGGTATTCATAGCTGTTTGCCAATTATTTACTTTGAGGTAAACAAATGATCAAGCAGGAGGGGAACAGGCAGAACAGGATGTGTCTAGCCCCTCTTTCCCAACAACTGGCTCAGTGTGTGTGTGTGTGTGTGCGTGTGTGGGAACCAACAGGCAGTGGAGACATGCCTTCCTCATCAGCCTTCCAGCTAATCAAGAAACCTGCTCACCTCAACAGACAGCCTGGCATGTAGGGAGGCAGGCAGGAAGGCAGGGAGGGAAGCAGACAGGACGACAGGTAGGGAGGCAGGCAGGAAGGCAGGGAGGGAGGCAGACAGGACGGCAGGTAGGGAGGCAGACAGGTGTGAAGGCAGGTAGGGAGGCAGACAGGACGGCAGGTAGGGAGGCAGACAGGTGTGAAGGCAGGTAGGGAGGCAGACAGGACGGCAGGTAGGGAGGCAGACAGGACGGCAGGTAGGGAGGCAGACAGGACGGCAGGTAGGGAGGCAGATAGGCAGGCAGGATGATATACATTTACATTTTAGTCATTTAGCAGACGCTCTTATCCAGAGCAACTTACAGTTAGTGAGTGCATACATTTTTCATACTGGCCCCCCGTGGGAAACGAACCCACAACCCTGGCGCTGCAAGCTCCATGCTCTACCAACTGAGCTACAGGGGACTGAGCTATATACGGATAGGACAAGTAAGTCACCCTCTAGCAGTGTGTGTGTGTGTGTGTGTGTGTGTGTAGGCAATGACCCCAATTATAAATGAAAGTCACAATCACTCCTAAAAGCCTAAATCACCCCTACGAATGTTAGAAGAGAAGCTCTCAATCATGTTGCCTTGTCCAAAAAAGCTCAAGATGCAGTGGGTATGTAATTTGTTGAAGTTATGGAGGCCACCCCAGAAGAGACTTTAAATAAATAGCCAGCAGACACAGGGCAGTCTGTCTCTCTAGGGCCATGTTAGGAGTGTGTTTCTCAGCTGAGCCAGGTGTGTGTCATTCAATTAACCAAGACTGTATCCGTTTTTGTTACCTAAGTACTGGTAGCCACATCAACAACATGGCACTATTAAAAGTTTGATACTATAGTAAAAGTGATATAGCTCAGACAGGCAGGATGTTCCTTCAGACAGTCAGACAGCCAGTGAGTCAGTACGGTGGGGGGAGGGGGATGTCTGTTTATCTTACTCACCTGAAGGAGCCGTACTCTGGCGGAGGCTGGTAGCGGACGTGTGGCACCTCGTTCCTGCCCTGCTCCCTGGGCCGATGGTCCTGGTAATAGTGCCCTCCTTGCTCCTGATGCTGCGGCTGTTGTTTGGGAGAGGAGCCCATGTTCTTGAAGGGGTAGTCAGGCGGGGGGCCCCGGTGCTGGCCCGAGGGCTTGTAGTAGTCCCCCGGGGGACCCGGAGGGGGCAGCTGGGGGGAAAGGGGGGCACTAGTGACAGGGGCGTGGGCCTTGACCCCGCTGGTGGCCAGCGAGATCTGCATGAGGCGCTCGGAGAGGGAGCGCACGTGGCCCTGCTTCAGGTCCTTGAGCCCGTCGTCCTGGTGCACCTTTCCCCCGCTGCTCAGACGCTGAACCGTGGGACGCCCCTCCGTACGCACCTTGCCATTGTTGGTTACGGCCGTCACGTAAAACGCTGCGCCCACTGACGGAGGCAACTGTTGTTGTTGTTGTTGATGTTGTTGTTGCTGTTGTTGATGTAGCTGGTGGTGCGGGTGGCCGCGAAAGTACTGCGACTGCACCTTGGCCTCCTCGTAGGTGGGTAAGTCCTCTGGGTTGGGGCCCTGGCCACTCCCTCCCCCAACACCACTCATCCCTCCTCCTCCACTACTACCCCCGCCGCGGGAGCCCAGTTTCTCCATGCCACTGTCCGCCTGCAGCTCCTGTCCTTGGGGCTCCTGCCGGGCGATGTGGGGCACAATGGCGTCGTGCCGGTCGTCGTTGGGGCCTCCCTGGCCCGGGTAGCCCCCGCTCACCCCTCCTTCCTGCTGCTGCCTCTGCTGCTGCTGCTGTCGTTGCTGCTCCTGCTGTTGCTGCATGGCCAGCTGGTAGTTGCGTCCCTCGTCATAGCGCATCTGCTCCTGTAGGAGTCGCTGCAGGACGGTGTTGCTGCTGCCACTGCTGCTGCTGGACGTCTCGTCGGCCGCCGCCCTCATCTCAGCCTCCCGAAGACCACGCACCTCATGGAAGGACGAGCTGCGCCCGCGGTCAATGTTCCCTGGGAGACGGGAGGGTGGGACGGAGAAGGGTGGGTGAGGGGAGGAAGGCGATGAGTTAACAAGTGATTGAATAGAGGGGTTGAGATGGAGAGGGTGAAAGCAGGGAGAGAGGAGATGGGGGAGAGAGGAGTTAGGGTAGGCGGATGGGGAGAGATGTAGAGGTGGAAGAAAAGGATGAAAGGTGGAGAGAGAGAGCGAGAGAGCGAGAGAGAGGAGGAGAGGCAGTCAGAGAACACACAAGCCATTTACCAACCATCCCCAACACTCATGAGAGTCATAGCTGAGCACACTGAACACCAGACATAAGTGATGTTAAGGTGAAACACAGAATGGAGATGAAAACAATGACAAACGGACTGAACCACCACTATCCTCTGAGAAAACTGGAGAAGATATGAACCCCCCCCCCGCAACCACTCGAGGTAGTTCAGCCCAAACCAGAAAAAAGCATATAAAACCAAAACTCACTTTGACAGATGGGTAACATTGGAGGGTATATTATGGGTTTTAAAGGCCAAATCTGGTGCTTACAAATGTCGGTTTCCAAGGCTATTTGGTGCCAAATTAAACATATGACTATACAACACCATCGTCAGCAGAAATACTGACTTATAGTCAGTCCAAATTGATGGTCACCCAAACCAACCGATTATATGGTACTAAATCCCAGTGTCAGAGTGTTAAGGACCACCCAGGAGCGTATACTGTAACCCCACTCCCCTGGTGTAGGACAGGACTGAAGATCAGATTTTTACTGTCAACATGCAGTGAGCACTACTATCGTCTAATGAATCGTGCCCATTTGAATTACTCCCGACTAATTTTATCATTACCCAGCAGATCATTTGAAGAAAGCAAAACCGTTGATTCGAAAATGTAAACTCTTTGATCCCAAGCTAGGCACTGTGATTGGTAGACATATGACAATCATACAATAGGGGAAGGCAAATGTGTTTTAGTAAAAAACATACAAAGTCATAAAGTAGAAACCACCCAGGGCATGTTAGCTGTTAATTAGCTAACACGCAGGTCTAAATCAAACACACTCATTTCCGGAGAGTTAAAATGTACTCTTTAACTTCCTCCAATAAAAAGCCACAAGCAAGTGTTATGCTTAAAGGGCTTCACTAGATTAAGGAGTTATTTAGAAACTCCGACTTCTTTCATGTTTTGGTTTTCTTTCAAACTGGGTTCTATGGAGTGGTTTCCACTGACAACCTTGAATGCCATTAAAGAGATCTAGTGGTTAAAGAGGCACCATCTACAAAGTAATGAAGGTGAAATTATTACATCTATTGCTTTCTGATATTCTTCTCATTCTCAAGGAGGACGAAGCTTTTTTCCGAAACATCTGTGGTAAATAAATAAATATAAGAAAGTCAGCTTTGGGGCCATCCCCTCGCGGGGCTCTCTTCCAAGTCGTAGAAGGAAAAGAGAGAAACATTAATGTCACAATGGTAGTATACTCTCCCCGACATACTTCGACTGCTATTTCCTGCCGCTCTTCTCCTTTTTCTGTCTCCCACTCTTCAGAACCAACTAGTACCAACCAGGACAATGGACAAATGGAGGATGGAACAGAAACAAAACACAAACAACTGAAAATAAACGGGGAGAGAAATGAAGGATGCAGTGGCATGACAGAAGGCATTGGTTTTTGACACAGCAAGACACAGTGACATGGCTTATTTAAAGGCTGCTGCCTGCCTGCCTGCCTGCGTCCTGTATACAGAGGAAGTAGGGAATCTGACAGGCTGGCAGGCAGCACACTAGACTGGACCCCGAACAGGCAGGGCATTTCTTAACTCCTTTTACTTTCACATAGTAGTCTCTACTCTGTACTGATGCTACTTTATGAAATAACATTCAGAATCGTTTACTTCTACTCAATCAAATTCATGAAAGGGTAAAACTACTACTATGCCAGCAGAATTGTGTTAGGTTGCTTGAAATCAAAACTCAGTCTTACTGTACTGGCTCGTTTAAAATCTGCTCGTTAACTATTCCTCTACCCCCACCTCCCCCCTCTCTGTGATTTCATAACCCCTGCCATCTTCTATACCCCCCCTAGACTTATTCTACTCCCTCCCCCTGGTCACCTACCTGTGTGGCTGCTCTCACTGCGCTCCTCCGGCACTGCTCTCACTGGGCTCTGTTGCTCATGGTGCTGCTGATGCTGGGGAGGACAGGTACCGAGATGGGGGTCTCCGGGGGGTCCGGTGGGGGTCTCCTGCTGGTCCTGTAGCGTCACCAGTTCCTCCAGGCGCTCCAACACGTAGAGGCGCTGGTCCACGTCGCTTAGCCCCAGCCACTCTGCAACAGGAAGAGCCACTCTCAACCAATACAGCCTCAACAATGGGGGTGGGGTCCCACACGCATGGCTGCAGGGGCCGCTCAGGGGAGGAGGAGGGGCGATGGTTTTGGGAATGTGAAATGGGGGGCACTTTCAGTGAAGTCGTTTCCTCTCTCTCTGGTTCGGCCGTGAGCAGATAGCGAGAGCCAGAGTGATCCTTGCCCCCTACAGCTGTGTGACTGGCTGTGCAGGGGTTTGGGAAGTAACTGTGCGCGTGTGTGTGTGTGGGGCCTTTGGCTGGAATTAAACACAGGATATGAGGATGTTCAGGGTTCGGTCAGAACAGAGAGAAAGGGGATCTGAGCTTTCTCTTGACAAAACAAGACAACTCCCATCTCTGTGTGAACCAGAGGTGATTTTCTGAACACAATCTTTCGCGGGAGGTTACTGAACATTGGTGAGAGACAGTTACAGAAAAAACAAGAGTTCAAGTGTTCGGAAAAACTACTTTGAAAGAGAATGTCCGCTTAAATGTTCTTCCCTAGGCTCTTTGTCAACAGGCATTTGGAAGTGGGTGAAATCCCAGAGAGATAGTCAAACTCTCAACAGAAATGGAACCTACTGACCCAGCAGCCATACCGCACACATGCACACACATGTACACGTACACGAACTGCCCTTCCTCTAACACAGTGAGAGCAATCAGTGCTGATAAAGCCAGATTTGGTTTCTCAAAACACACACACACCCAAGACACGTACATACACGTAAAAACAAAGAGTACACACACACACACGATAGGACAGTATGATGAGAAAGACTATCAGTATCACAACAAGGACTAATCACCCTCCCCTCTGAAAAATGACTTCCAGATGGTCCCTTCAACCCCCTCTCCCACCGTTTGCTGACGCTCAAACTGTAAGTTCCTTGACGGTTTCAGATAAACAGTTTATTCCGTAGCCAGAGCTGGCCGCAGTGGACTCAGGGAATCTGGCATTCCGGTCGTTCCTCAGATAGGTCTCCCTGTAAGTGTTTCCAGTGGCTCTGACCTCTGTGCAGGTGTGTCATGTCAGCCACACACACCTTGCTGACAGTTTAAGTGTTGGTCTGGCCATGGTTTGAGTCAGTCGTGACTGAAAACAACACCTACAGAGAGTCAGGAGCTTGGCGTACCTTTACACATACCTGAGCTAGCCTGGGTCTGGTCTGGGTCTGGCCTGGGTCTCAGCAGCACATACAGAGCACAGCCATGACATTCACCTCAACACGCACACTGTTTGAAATTCCACTGTCACGATTTGAGAAATATCATTCAAGTTCATGGCTCACATCCATCCACCTTGTTTGAAATACCACTGACATGATGTACCTCAACTGCAAATTCACACAAAGTATTAAAAAGAATCACATACCAAGTGAGCAGTAGGCTACAATGGAATATTGTGAGATATTCCACAGAACCAAAACAACGCCAAGAGATCCAGCTTACTGTATTCAATCCAATTCAATCTTTCCCACGAAGCAGCTCAGTAATGCACAATCACACAATGCTCTCACTTCAAAGTGCAAAGAGCTACCACGGCACGGCACACATCTCCCTCTTCTCTCCCTGCCTCCCTCGTTCCAGCAGGTGGGGCTTGGACTAGGAGGACAGGTGAATCTGGAGGACCTCCAGGATCTCGTCACGCCCTCATACCTGCGTGCTGGTGTAACCGTTCCTTTACACCGTTTACCATTATACCATTACCCCGCCAGCCACCTGCTGCTTCACCACACACACACCTCCTCTTTAGAGAGGGCCAGCCCTCACCTGTCGTACCAATGGAGGGACAGACAAACAGATGAGTCAGGAGAGAGAGAGATAGAGGCAGAGATGGGTGAGACAGAGGTAAGAGATATGAGAGATGAGAGGGAGCGTAGCAGACAGGTAAAATCGAAGGATTAAGGAAGAGAAAGAGAGAGTCAGGAGAGAGGGACTCTCACAGACAGGTAAGAGAGTTGAGTAGCCTAGTTAAAGGCAGGTGATTCAGATGTGACACCAAAACATAGTCATATTATGAAACCCATTGAGGAACAATCACTAACAGGTGATAATGGGTGTGGGACCAAAACAAACTAAGGGTGACTCAGGTCGGCTAAATAACATGGACTCATTGAACTCAACATCACAGGAGAAAGGGAGAAGATATGTGCAAATTAAGCTGATTCATGTCCTTTGATCCCTGGTGAGGCTCCTGACCACCTGTGCTGTGTGTGTGGTGTGTGCAGGAGTCTGTCTAAAATCTTGTTAACTTCTCTCCTTGTCTTTCATCAGCAGCCAGGCTGGGGGAGCCAAAGTCAACCCTGGCAGGCAGGTCTGGAATCAGATGGAGGCTGGTGGGAGTGGGAGTGGACGGGCACAGGTGCAGGCTCCCGCTGGCCCCAGATCAGTGAGTCAGACAGGGACAGACAGGCCTACACAGATAGAATGGCTGGAAAAGCTGTGCAAGAGTTAGTCAGTCTCTCTACAAAAACCCTAAAGGGAGAGGGAAGAGAAGGAGAGAGCGGGAGAGAGAGAGGCAGAGACAGAAAAAGAGTGAGTGAGTGAGAAAGCGAGAGAGAGAGTTAAAGGGAGATAGAAAGATAATATATTTCCCTCCCTCCCTCTCTCAGAGCTCCATTTAATTAAAATGGCATCAATCACAGGTAGCCGTTCTAAGACCTACAGGCTTATGACCAGAAACATATCTCATCTGAGTGAGTGAGGCCTTCAGCCTTTAGCCTGATCCCAGACCTGTGTAGAGAGACACTGTTTCAACCTCTGCTCCTAGCTTCAACCCGTGATTAACTGGGAGCTTTGAGATACACTGATATACAGTAGTAGCTAGCTATATATATTATGAAATGCCCTTTCATATTTTGAATGGAGCCTGGGGTTGCACTGTCTTATGTAAATATTTGCCTTCAATGTGCAAGTTTCCCAGCGCCCCGCACATGGCCTGTTTATTCTGCTAATACACCAGGAATGCAGAGTGGGATGAGCAGCAGAGGGAGAGAGGGGGAAGGGAGAGAGAATGGAAAAGGAAAGAGGAGGGTTGCCACGGGAAAGTAATCATTTCATTGGACGGTGTATACCATGTGTATCCTGTACATATGACTAATAAAACGTGAAACAAGACAGGAAGGACAAAGAGAGAGAACTATAGAGTGGGATAGATGGAGGGAGGGAGAGAAAGAGAGAGAACTATAGAGTGGGATAAATGGAGGGAGGGAGAGAAAGAGAGAGAACTATAGAGTGGGATAGATGGAGGGAGGGAGAGCCAAGCGATGAGACCTATCGAGTGGGTTAGATGGAGGGAGGGAGAGAAGAGAGAGAACTATAGAGTGGGATGATGGAGGAGGGAGAGACAAGAGAGAGAATATAGTTCGATGAGGTAGGAGGAAGACGAGAGAACTATTGGGATGATCAGTGTGAGGCACGCAGGTCTCAGACTTTTCCCTGGAGGGAGACTAGGCAGGATAAACACAGTGGGATACTGAAGGAGACGCACAACAGAACTATAGAGTGGTATCATGAGGTCGGGAGAGAAAGAAGACAAAGTCACAGACCTAAAGTTGACGTTTGACCTTATCAGTGTGAGACACTGCAGGTTCAGACACTTTTCCCTCAGGGACACAGGAACACACCATGGTCCACACGACACCACACAGTTTTTCCTGAGGGTGAGAAACAACAGTTACATATGGGGTCCTGAGAACCCATCACCCACCACTAAGTACAAACAAACACACTACGTTTTCCCCAGGGGAATCATAAATAGGAGCAGTAGGTAAGATGAAGATGATTTACTCTCTATTCAGACCAGGAATAGAGCCAGGGGCAGACCTGGGTTCAAATACTACTTGAAATATTTCAAATACTTCTGGCGTTTGCTTTAGCCTGCCTGGACTGCCATGCAATAGTGGGTTTGCACCTTCAGGACTTTTCCATTGGTTTCACTGCAACAGGCAAGCTCAATCAACCAGCCAAAGTATTTACAAATAATTCAAATAGTATTTGAACCCTGGTCTGCCCAGGGCTATGGGCTGGGAAACTAGGATGGTAAGCAAACACTCAACCGTCACTTCCCTGTGTCTCAAAAGAGTCCCAGTCATGTTTTCTCAGAGGGGACTCACACAGGGCTCCATATACACATGCAGCTGTAGAGGGCAGATAACAGTGTCCTAGTTCCCATCTGGTTCAGTTCCACTCAGTTTGCTCTGCCTACGTAGAGAGATGGGACTGAAGGAGATGACTGTCTTTGTCCTGGATCTGCCTTCTGTCAACTGTACAGTAACAAACATTGTATGTGTTGCACACTTAGCCCCAGGGAACATTCCAGGGAATGTGTGGGTTTTTGATCCCAATATGGCAACCCCCTTCTGACACACAAACACACTGGGGGAGAGAGAGCAGGCAACTGACCCCAAAGAACCCTGTAGCTAAAGCATACTGGCCCCCTTCACTCACACACACGCGCACAAACACGCACGCATGCACAAACGGTCATCTTTCTCGGCAGTGTTTATGTAAGAGCGGAACATTAGTGGAAGGCTTCCAGTGGTTTAATGAACTCCAGAGAGCTCGTCCACGTTCAGCTTTTCTCTCAACTTAATGTAGGACAAGATAACACTGACAATATTGTTATGGGAGAGAGAGGAGGGCAGAGAGAGGAACAGGGAGGGAGGTAGAAGGGAGATGGAGAAGAGAGGGCTAGAGCAGAGAGGAGAGAAATATGTAGGGAAGGTCACAAGAAAGGCATGAGGGGAGTGAAAGAGGATATTTGGTGCAGAGCAAGAGAGCGAGAGAGAGAGAGAAAGGAGAGAGCGATTGGGGGAACAATGGAAAACTGAGAAACATGGCAGGAACCAAGCAGGAAATGCAACATTCCAATCTGGAAAGGCCGCCCATCTCTCCGTTCCCCCCCCCCCCCCCCCCTCCCTGGCGGTAGAGAGCATGAAGCCTACTCTCCCTTGGTGTCCATTACACTGGGCTCTGGCCTGGGAGTTTCTCCCACCGCAGCACAACTGGGGAAGACAGAAACATGCCAAGAAAATCTGACACATCTGTACACTCTCTTCCTTTACCTCTTTCCATAACCCCTTCTCCCCCCGTTCTCTCCACCTCCCTCCTTCCTCAGTCACTCCAAGGCTGGCCATTGCAATGCTTATTATGAGGAGCTGGATCATGTTCCATTAAACAGAGAACGAGGGAGAAGGGGGTGGAAAGAGAGAAAGCAGAGTCCTCCACAGGGGCCACATTACTTCAGCTCCAGTGAGGATACTCTTGGACGAGTAAGGTGGCCATTGTTGTGACCTTTGTCACAATACCGCAATCTGTCAATCAGCGCCCTTCACTTTGCCTTTCAAAAACAGCAGCCCCACGCCAGAGTATTCAACTAATTCAGTTTGACCTACATATCAGAGGCATATGGGAATTTCCATGTAAAAAGCCCCATGACCACTAACATGTAAAGTTCATAGGAACACATCAAATGTTGTGTCAAATGAAAGCTAAGAGTCTATATTTTTGAGAAATTAAAGCATATACAGTGCATTCGGAAAGTATTCAGACCCCTTGACTTTTTCCACAGTTTGTTACGTTACAGCCTTATTCTAAAATTGATTCAATCTACACACTATACCCCATAATGACAAAGCAAAAACAGGTTTTTAGAAATGTTTGCACATTTCTTAGGAATTTCTGTCATTCTGTTACCAAATAATTATTTAAAAAATCTGTAACAGAAACACTGCAACTGAATTGGCTACAATAGGAATTCATAGTAGTCACAAACCACAGTTGGATCACCTGCTACTGTCCTACCTTCAACATAACTGTTTTCTTTCTCTTTCTGTTGCGTGGTGGTCAAAGCAAGAGTGTGAAAACAGTCTGGAAAACCCCAGCCTCTCTCTCTCTCTCCCTGTCTCTCTTCACTCGCTCTCTCTCTCTCTCCCTCTCTCTCTCTTTCCAGTTAATGTCACTTCTCCCGGCTTTCACTGACACCTACCCATGAGCCCCCTCTCTTTCCATTTACTGTAACCAGCCCTCTCACCCACTGAGCACCGACTGACAACGAACGTCTATTGACGTTGAAAAGTTGTTGAGATATGGTTAGTCCAAATCTGAACCAATCAGAAATGTATTTCACAAGTTTAGACAGCACAGTACAGTACAGTAAAGAAGAGTAGAGTAGGGTATAGGCCAGTACAATACAGTACTGTACAGTAGAGTTTAGTACAGTAGAGCACACAAGTATAATTTACTGTGTTGTACTGTACTATACTGAACTCTACCGTACTGTGCTGTACTGTAATGTCCAAACTTGACGTCTGTGATTGGTACAGTTTTGGTCCGGTCCAACCAAGTTTAGTCTTATTATTCATTAGAATAATAGCCAGTGTAGAATAATAACCAAACATGCAAAGGAGATGACATGTTTCTATCTTTGTGTCCCTATTCAGGATAGATGACCATGAATAGAATGACATTCATAATGATGCATTTCTGTACAGTACAGATCAGAGACCCATGATGTCATTCTGTTACCGGGTGTTACTTACTGTAGTTCAATAACCAAAATAGATGTTTTCGAACTCAAGGTGTCATATCATAACTGACACCCCATTCTTTCTGCAGACATCTTTGAATCTTAATTCGGAGCAGATATTTAAGCGTTTATGGAAAATGTGGTCACATAAAAAAACTGAGCGAGATTCTACCCTCATTCTACTACCAAATTGTACATCTGGGTAAATGTGTTTTTGTAAAATGTTCAGTGGAAATTGTTAAAAGTATTCCTTGTGCATATAGTTGTATGGTTTGTTTAACTTTGCAACAAATAGTTTTTGTTTGGAGTTTCAACGTCATTCTGTTACCGTGGAATGGCTCATACCGGTTCAGTTTTTCAGAAAGTCCCTTGTTGGGGAGAAGGAATTTAATAACCCTCAATCTGAATGGCTAAAAACTCTAGTTCTGGTTGGTCAGGGAGAGTTTGGGGAGCTAAGAGATGCTGACGTGGGGAAAGTGATTTTATCTGACGAGTTGAAGACCTTTGGCCCGTTCCCTAAATGAGAAACAGTCATCATAAACAGACCAAACCCAGCAGCAGCCATTTTGACAACGCTGACATGCTTCCTCTCTGGAGCCTCTCTCCTTCATTCTCTCTCCATCACGCTCTTTTTCCAACTCAATCACAATCTCTGTAATGTGGTTTCATTCTCTCCGCAACACATACAAATGTTCCTGATACAGGGCCAACCTTTCGGTCACCAAACCCCCTCATATTCAACTCCCTAAACCTCTTACCACACGCACGCCACACACACACACACACACACACACACACACACACACTTGATGGGAAGCATGTGCTGCAGAGATGAAATCGCTTTTTATCTCTGTCACACTGGCTGTGGAATGATTTGGTCTTCCTCTACAGTTATGGCAGGGAAAATCACCCTCTCACATCTCCTCCTTTACCCTCTCTTCACCCCCTTTTCCTGTCACCTCACCAGTCTCTGTCACCTCGCCTCCTACTCCCCCCATCTTTCCCCCTCCCCCCCTCAACCCTTTCACCTCAATCCTTTCCATGTTTCTGGAGCAACAGTGTAAAGAATATCAAACCCACCCAACTCTCTGGGTTTATAATGCCAGATCTACAACTCAACAGTCGATCACGACTGACAGCAGCGGCTGACTCAGACTCAGTGCTCCGTCCTACTCTGTCCCAGTAGACTGAATGAAACTACCACTGATTAGAACTTCATCAGGATTCGGGAGTGAGTGAGTCCATGACGGAAATGTTCCTGTGCCCAAAACAAACTCCATCTGGAAGTGGAGTTGGGCCAGGGGATCACAGCAGGGAAGTGCTGGGACGGTTTTGCCCAAAACACTGATACTGTACTGAGTGACACATCCGCCTGGGGACCTAGTGAATGAATGGTCTGGGGTGTTTGTGTGTGTGTGTGTCTGTAAATGAGTCAGGATGTGAGTGTGCCAGTGTGTGTGTCTGGCCATGCCTTTTGCATATTATTAAGCAGATTGTGGATCATCTGCATCCATTGTGGATGTCGTGTGAGCTCAGAAGAAAACAAGAGGCATTTGGGTTAATCCTAGGCTGTCAGCAGACAGGACTTTGGGCCTCCTCTACAGAAGGAGAGAGGGGAAAGGAGGGAAGGCGGGAGAGAGAATGAGAGAAAAATTAGGGACTGAGGTTGAGAGCAAGTGGCTAAGGAGAGAGATAGAAGGGGAGGCTGAGGGAGCAAACTATACCAAGACAGAGCACTACAGAGAAAATCAGAGAGAGAGATAGGACAGATAACGAGAGAGCCAGAGTGAGTGGAACAGTCAGAGACATTCCAGTGCTGTGAGTCAATGGTGCTAGGCACTGCTCTGGCAGACACTCACCACCACCTCTACGACTCAAAGGCCCCCGACTCCATGGCTCCCCATTGGCCCAGGCAGGGCCACCATACAGAGGAAGGAGGACAGGACAAGGGAGGGATAATCAACACTGGCTCAGATCCAAACAGTCAGAGACCAGACCAGAGACCAGAACAGGTCATTGTTCTTTGTAATTTGAGCATTTCTTGGAATCCTGTAAACCCGAAGGAACCAAATCCCTGTGGTCAAAGAGAATAACCCTAGCTTTCCCTATGGACTGTATCCTAACAAACACACACTTTCATGTAATATGAAAATATTTCAATGGGTTAGGTATGAATTGGGCAGATGTAGGCCTAGTATCACAGAATTTGATAAGATCAAATGAATTAATAAAATCCACTTCCCTCAAAATCCCATGAGAATAAGATCATTCCATGAGGCATCACTGTTAAGTTGGTCAATTAAGAACATAAGGGTCAATCAGAGTTAGACTGTAACTAGTGTGTAATCAGAGTTAGACTGTAACTAGTGTGTAATCAGTTAGACTGTAACTAGTGTGTAATTAGAGTTAGACTGTAACTAGTGTGTAATCAGAGTTAGACTGTAACTAGTGTGTAATTAGAGTTAGACTGTAACTAGTGTGTAATCAGAGTTGGACTGTAACTAGTGTGTAATCAGAGTTAGACTGTAACTAGTGTGTAATCAGAGCGACCTGAACAAAACAATCCACAACTCCCTTAAAAATTGGGAAACTTAGCAACTACAGATTATATTTAGTTTAGCATGATCAGTTATCACATAGAAATTAAATTCTCACATACATCTCAATGTGTGATCATTACTTGTAAATCATACTTACAGTCTATAATGATACAAGTTTCTAAACATGTTTAGTCTACATACCCTTTCTTTCTGACTATACCAACAAGACTCATTCCTTGTCATAGCGGAGAGCATGTGTGCCAGACCAGCTACCCCGTGGACTTCTACTAGCCTACCACATTCCTGAGGAGCAGGGGGACATCTGTCCACATTAAGTGAACCTACAGGGGGATAACAGAGGGGCATTCAGCTTAATAATTTAACAGAAGTCTCCTCACAGGCAAACAGAGCTGCCAATGGTATTGTCACACAACAAAGGCTAGAGGATGAATGTGAGTGAAAATAGACTGATAATACACTCAATGATAAGGCTCATTCATTTGCCATGAATGGAAGGACTGATTGTTGTTATGATGAAGTTGGAAAGCTTTTTGAGGACCTCCACAAGCAAAGTGAAATGGTCCCATGTCTGTGTCTCAACTACTGTATAATAAATGCATAATTAAAGGAATAAAATGTTCAAAACTGAGCACAGGACACAAAAATGTATGAAATGTGCAGTAGTCAATTACAGGATTTATGACTCATATGAAAGGGACAAAGGGGGTGGGGTAATGTATTGGTAACTACTGTAATAGCAAAACGTGGGACAGGGCAACATTGTATGCTGTAACTTAAGTGTCAGTGTACTGTAAACTCGACCTGCTACATCACATTTATGGAGTGAGATTTGTTTATTTATTCTGTAAATGTGTCTATCACGATCCGTGCATATATTCCACATAACTCACAAATAAAATTATGATCTGTAAATATA